ATATATATATATATATATATATATATATATATATATATATATATATAACACACACACACACACACTCACTCACACACTCACACACGACAGAAACAACAAACAGGCTCTATAAATCCAAACTGCCTGGGGACTTCTAGGCTGGATAGGGGAAGGAACAAGAAGGCAAGTACATTTTGTTCTTGGGATAAATGTATGGCAGAAGGTTCCACTTCTACTCAGAGCCCTACAGGGACTGGCATGGGAGCTTCCTTGATTACTCACTCCGTGGAGGCACCAGGATTTTGCTGTTGATGGCACACCAACCAATAGGGTGGACATCCACCGTCCCCAGGTTGCACCAGAAGTCATGACTGGAGTCATTTTCAAAGCCTTCATATCGAAGCAGCACGCGGTACCCTGAAAGGAAGGACAAGGGCACCTGTGAGGAGATGGAGACGGTGCATCCTCAGGCTTTCTTCCTCCCCTACCCCAGTCAGATTCCCTACTTCATATTTCAGTAATTCTTTCCAGGCACATGGGGTCCCTGATACACTACCCACTGACTGGATATGCCGCTTAGCAAACAAATTGTAGGCCCTGCCCTGGCCAGAGGAACACCCACCAGCTGCCTGGATGACAGAGGCGATCCAATACACCCGGCTAGGGAGCACGGCATCGCCGTTGAGGACTTCCACCTTCATCCCCTTCAGGACGTCTTCCCACTGGTCATAGAGGGGCACCTGCGTGGTGAGGAGAGCATTGAAGGGGCTCAGAGGAGCTGGCTGCCTCAGGCCTGAGCCATCTTGACCTCTACACCTTAACGTCATGCACTGTGCAGAAAATTAGGAATAAAGAGGTAAACAAGGTGTGTTTACTGTCCCAAAACACAGAATGGCAGGGTGCCATCAGACCGACATGGGTGGAGGGCTACAGGCCTGGATTCTCATCAATGCAGGGCCAGCTCTATCCGTGTGGCACCTCGGTGCACCTGGATACCTGTCACCCTGCCAGTTGCACAGCAGTGTCTCAGCATAGAGATCAACTCCTTAATGTCATGTGACCTGGGCTCACACATGCACATTCTACCCAGTGTCTTCCTACTGTGTGATTTCTGGCCACCTTCCCAATGCCTAATCCTTGATTTGCTGCCAATGGGAACTTGATCCTCCTTTGGGAGAAGCATCCTCTTTCACTATCAGACCTGGGCTAAGCCAGCAACAATCCATCTCCCTAGGCAGACAGGTTCACATCTACTTGGGAAAGCATGCAGTGGCCCAGGTACACTTGGAAAGCTCTTTACTACAAGTTTTGGTTTCTTTAAAACCTCAGTTATGGGTACATTTACACAATGGAATACTACTCAGCAATTAAAAACAAGGAAATTATGAAACTGACAGGCAAATGGTGGGATCTAGAAGAGATCATCCTGAGGTATCGAAAAAGCAAAAAGACACACACAGTATATACTCACTTATAAGTAGATAGTTGACATATAATATAGGATAAACATACTAAATCTGCACACCTAAAGAAGCTAAGCAAGAAGGAAGACCCTAGGTAAGATGATCAATCCTCACTCAGAAAGACAAACAAGATGGACATTGGAAGGAGGAGAAAACAGGGAACAGGACAGGAGCCTACCACAGAGGGACTCTGAAAGACCTACCCAGCAGTGGATCAAAACAGATGCTGAGATTCCTAACCAAACTTTGGGCAGAGTGCAGGGAATCTTTAAAAAAAAAAAGGGGGGGAGGGAGATAGTAAGACCTGGAAGGGACAGGAGCTCCACAAGGAGAGCAACAGAACCAAAAATTCTGGGCAGAGGGGTCTTTTCTGAGACTGATACTCCAACCAAGGACCATTCATGGATATAATCTAGAACCCCTGCTCAGATGTAGCCCATGGCAGCTCAGTATTCAAGTGGCTTCCCTAGTAAGAGGAACAGGGAGTATCTCTGACATGAACTCAGTGGCTGGTTCTTTAATCACCACCCCCTGAGGGGGGAGCAGCCTTGCCAGGCCACAGAGGAAGACAATGCAGCCAGCCCTGATGAGATCTGATAGGCTAGGGTCAGATGGAAGGGGAGGAGGACCTCCCTTATCAGTGGACTTGGGGAGGGGGAATGGGAGGAGGTAAGGGAGGGAGGATGTGATTGGGAGGGAATGAGGGAGTGGGCTACAGCTGGGATACAGAGTGAATAAACTGTAGTTAATACAAAAAATAAAAATTAAAAAAACCTCACTTATGTTATATAAATGTTTTTGTTTTAATCCCAAGTGTGGAATTTTAGTTTGGGCTTTAGTTTGTCCACAGCTGGTAACTGCCTCCAATGGGAATGGCCTTTGCCAGCTGTTAACGGCCTGCCTTGTGCATGGAGAGGGGCATGGTCTAGGACTCTGAGAGGTATAAACAGGAGAGCCCAGAGAAAGAAACTGTGGCGAGTGGCAGTTTGGAAAGACCAGAGACACTTCATGGCACACTGGCTTAGAGGAGAGAAACGAAGGAAATTACTCTTGCTGTTGACAGAAAATTGGTATAGCCCTAAACAAAACAAAACCCATCATGGACATTAAACAGCTGGGAGAAGTAAAGGGGTCTGCGCCCCTCTCCCCACTAACCTCTCCTACCTAAGGTTGGATGATGGTTGGAAGGGAGAGGCTTTAAGGAACCACAAATCAAATAGTTTAAAAACGAGCGCAACACTTTACAGAGCATACTGGATCTTGTGTTAAATATGATCTAATTTCCCTACAATAAAAATTCTGGGACTAGGAGAATTTGGGGGTCAAAAGATTGCTTTCTTCCCCTGCAGGGAAGTTACACATTCATTAGCAACTCAGACAAGGGGCCAGTAGGACTTAGCATCTACATGTAATTGTGCAGGGCAATCCAGGAAGGCGAGGCAACTGGCCTCAGGTCAAAAGACAGCCTCAGGAGTCCTTCTCCTGGGCTTTACCAAATGGGATTGAAAGGCAAACAAACAAACGAATAAACTAACGAACGAAAGAAAGAATGAACGAATGGGCTTAATGGCTCATACCTGTGAGCCAGCGCAACTGCTCTCAGGCTAGCCTGGTTTACAAAGTGAGCTCCAGGCCAGCCTGAGCTATATTGTGAGACTTTGTCTTAAATTTAAAAAGAGATGACTCAGAGGTTAAGAGCACTGGCTGCTCTTTCAGAGGTCCTGAGTTTAAGTCCCAGCAACCACATGGTGGCTCACAACCATCTATAGTGAGCTCTGGTGCCCTCTTTTGGCATGTAGGCATACATGCAGACAGAACATTGTATACAAAATAAATAAATAAATCTTAAAAAAAAGAGAGAGAGAGACAAAATTAGACCTGTTGTAGGTGTTACTCTAGCTAGCAGGAGGTACAGCTGAGTTAAGCTAGCACTGTTAAGTTCCTGACATCAAGCTCATCCAAACATCTAAACAGGGCCCCAACCCTTCCTTCTTCAGGAAGAACTGGAGGGTGGTAGAAAGGTCCTTAGATGTAGCTGGAGAGATGGCTCAGTGGTTAAGAGCACTGTTTGCTCTTCCACAGGTCCTAAATTCAATCCCCAGCAACCAGATGGTGGCTTACGACCATCTATAATGAGATCTGATGCCCTCTTCTGGTGTGCAGGTGTACCTGCAGATAGAGCACTTATATACATAAAATAAATAAATAAATCTTAAAAACAAAACAAAACAAAAAAAAAAAGGATTGGCCAGAAAAAGAAAGAAAGATCCTTAGAAGAGGCCCAAGGGGGCAGCTTGGTGGTATAAAGTGGCAGGAAAAGAAGGCCGTAAGAGTCAATTTGCAGAAAGCTGAGCATGGTGGCACATACTTGTGATTCCAGCACTTGGGGAGTAAGTGTGGGGGAGGGGGCTTACACAGGATGACTAAAAGTTAAAGGCTATCTGCAGCTATATAGCAATTTAGAGGCCAGCCTGTGCTGCATGAAACCCTGTCTTAATAACAACAGGTCAGGTGTGATGGGTGCACACCTTTAATCCCAGCACTTGTGAGGCAGAGGCGGGCAGATCTTTGTGAGTGCCATAGAGAAGCCCTGTCTCCAAATACCAAAATTTAAAACAAACAAACAAACAAAACCCAACCAACCACCTGTTCCCTCCCCCCTCCACCCAACCCCCAAAAAACAATACCAGGGCCGGAGAAATGGCCCAGTGATTACGAGCACTCGATGCTCTTCAGAGGACCAGGGTTTGGTTCCCAGCACGTACAGGGCAGCTTAAAACTAGCCACAGTACTCCACTTCTGGAGGATCTGATGCCTTCTGGGTGTTTTGCCAGATAGCTCTGTAGACCTTGAACTCAGAGATCCACCTGCTCCTGCCTCAGAGCGCTGGGATCAAAGGTGTGCGCCCACTGCCCAGCCCTGATGCCCTCTTCTGCCCCCTACACACACTAGGCACACGTGTGATGCAAGCAAAACACCAATGTACGTAAGGTAAAATAAATCAATCTAAAAAAAAATAAAAACAGACCAAAGAACCAAACAAATGCCACAAACAAAACAAAAACAACTTGTTTTTGTTTTCTGAGACAGGGTTTCTTTGTGTAGCCCTGACTGTTCTGGAACTCACTCTGTAGACCAGGCTGGTCTCAAATTCAGATATCCTCCTGCCCCTGCCTCCCCAGGGCTGGGATTAAAGGTGTGCACCACTACCACCCTGATATCAAAAACAATTTTAAGCACTTAGGGAGACAGAGGCAGGCAGATCTCTATGAGTTCAAGGCCAGCCTAGTTTACAAAGCAAGTTCAAGACAGCCAAGGCTACACAGAGAAACCCTGTCTCGAAAACAACCAAACAAAATTTTTAATGGGGTAAAGAAAACATCAAAAATGAAAAAAAAAAAAAAAAAAAAAGAACACCCTCTAAACTCAGACCAAAAAAAAATTCTATTTCTAATTAATAAATAGAAAATAAACCTCAGAACAGGGACTGTCTCTGAAATGAACTGATTGGCCTGCTCTTTAATTTCCTCCCCCGGAGGGGGAAGCAGCATTACCAGGCCACAGAAGAAGACAATGCAGCCACTCCTGATGAGACCTAATTGACTAGGATCAGAAGGAAGGAAAAGAAGTCCTCCCCTATCAGTGGACTTGGGGAGGGTGGAGGAAGGGAGGGATTGAGATGGGAGGAGGGAAGGAACCACGGGGGGGGGGGGGGGGGGAAAAAAAAAAAAAAAAAGTGTAATTAATAAAGAAAAAAAAAAAAAAGAAGAAAAAAAAAAAAAAGAAAAGAAACCTCAGAAAGCAGAGGCAGTTGTGTAAGGTGCAAGATGATCTTATTTTTAAATTTTTTTGGTTTTTGAAATAGGATCTTAATATTTAGCTCTGGACACTATGTAGACCAGGCTAGCCAAGAGATTTACTTGTCTCTGCTTCTCAAGTGTTGAGATTAAGTGCATGCACCACTATCCCTGGCATTTTTATATATGTATAATATAACACACACACACACACACACACACACACACACACACACACACACACATGTCTGCATCTGTGTCTACACCCCAGAAAGCATAGGATCCCATGGGAATATAGGTATGGATGGTTGTGAGTCACCATGTGGGTGCTGGGACTTGAACTCAGGAGCACTGGAAGAGCAGCCAGTGCTCCTAACTACTAAACAATCTCTCCAGCCTCCAGAACAAAGGGAGATTTCTGGGGAATGGCCACTGCTCTCAAGGATCCTGTCCAGGCGGGAGCAACTCAGCAACTCAGCTGAGGTGTGTGGGGAGCAATGAGGCAGGCAGTCTGGGGTGCCCCTCCTCCTCTGCCCGGGCACTCACGTGTTTAAAGCAGCTGACAGGAGCAGCCTTGTAACTGTGATCCTTCAGGAACTTCCCCCAGTCAAACCCTAAGACCAGAGCTGTGGAGCACAAAGGAAGAGTTGAGGCGGGGTATCTACAGCAACCATGTTACAACAAGAACCCGGAGGCAGGACTGGAGAGACAGCTCAGCGGTTAAGAGCACTGGCTGCCCTTCCAGAGCTCCTGAGTTCAAGTCCCAGCAACCACATGGTGGCCCACAACCATCTGTAATGGAATCTAATTCCCTCTTCTGGTGTTCGTGAAAACCGAGCACTCATATACATTAAATAAATTAATTTTTAAAAATAAAAATGAAAAAAGAACCTGGAGGCCCCACAGGGTTCTAGAAACAAGTCCCTTTATCATCACCAATGGCCATCAGGGCTGTGAAGCAGAGGGGCATCCAAAGAGAAACTTCTGTCCCTTCTTGCTGCACAGAAAGGGAAATTCAGATGTAGGCTTACATTTCTCCTCCTGTACCCAGTCACTGGCCACACCTAATCGGCAGACCGCCCACCTGGGGCAGTTTCGCCCTCATAGTGCTCAGCAATCACTATGCTTGAATAACTGAGACCCCTTCCACCTGCTCCACACATCCTGGACTTCCCCTGCACCAGGGAGAGAGAAGCCATGGACACAGATACAAAGAGAAACAAAGCAGCTAACTTCTCCTTTCTTGATGATGAAGGACCCAGGCAGCTGCAGGGCCTAAGGTCATTTCCACAAAAGCCAGCAGGTGGAGACAGTTTACCATAGGCCTGGATCCCCAACTTTCCAGCAGGCTACCTTTTCCAGCAGGCTACTTTTAGGCAAGGCCATCCCCACCCTGGTCCCCCGTCCCAGGATTGCCTCACCATCTTGTCCTGTTGGTGTCCCATCTGCTAGCTGTCCTGTGCCCTGGGAGTGGAGGAAGGCTCCAATCTTGGCGGACCAGGCTGCCTTGTGCAGGACTTTGGCTTTCTTGGTGGGTGGCTTTCCCTGGAAGGCAAGGAGGGAATTACGCAGGCTGGCGGCTGTGAACCTGAATCTATTTCTATAGGGCCTTGTTTTGTTTTTTTTTTTTGAGATATGGTGGCCTGGAATTTGCACCTGTTGTGTTCTGCCTCCTGAGTGCTGGGATTCCAGGCATGTGCTACCGTAACCAAGTGAGAAAGCAGAGCTTGGTTGGGCCCTGCCGGCTACCTAACCCCTTTTGGGCCTGAGTTTCTTCTGTGAAACTAAGGATGAGTGAGAACACTCAGGAGAGTGTTACAGAAGGACGGAGCCAGTAGAGCTACCAATGAGGGAGAGAGTGTCGCTCAGGCCTTTGACTCCTCTCTAACATTGTCACTGAAGTCCTCTCTATGCTCCCAGCCCCACGGAGAGCTACAGCTGAGTGGCTGCAGAGGGGCCCGATACTCTCACCAAACCCACAGGCAATATTTTGTACCTGGAGAGAACATTCTGGACAGCTTTTACCAGGTGACTCAGGAAAAGCTCACTTACAATTAATCACTTAATTAAGATAATGAAGCACCAATGACAAAGGCCAGGACCCAATCAACACACCAGCTAAGCAGAGGCACACCTGCAGGTCTTAACGAAGTGGTTCGCAACCTGTGAGTCATGACCCCTTGGGGTTGAATGTCCCTTTCACTGAGGTCACATATCAGATAGCCTGCATATCAGATACTTACATTACAATTCATAAAAGTAGCAAGATTACAGTTACGTAGTAAAAATGAAAATAATTTTATAGCCAGGAGATGGTGGTACATGCCTTTAACCCTAGCTCTCAGGAGGCAGAAGCAGGTGGATCTCTGAGTTCCAGGCCAGCCTGGTCTACAGAGCAAGTACCAGGACAGCTAGGGCTACACAGAGAAACCCCGTCACAAAACAAAACAACAATAATAATTTTATCATTGGGGGTCACCAAAGCATGAGGAACCGTACTGATGGAGTTAGGTATTGCGGTGTTAGGAAGGCTGAGAAACACTGACTTAAAGAAATCGAAAGTTTTCGAGCCTTTTAAAATAGGAATTGTGGAGTATGGGGAAGGCACCCTTTAATCCCAGCAATGGGGAGGCAGAAGTAGGCAGACTTTGTGATTCTGAGACCAGCCTGGCCAGCCAGAGCTAAATACCGAGACCCTGTCTCAAAAGGAAAATAAGGGCTCTGGTAAGGCGGCTCGCTGGTTAAGAGCACTGGCCACACTTCCAGAGAACCCAGGTTCAGTTCCTAGCACCCACATGGTGGCTCACAACTGCTTCCAACTCTAGTCCCAGGGGACCTGACACCCTCTTTGGTCTTCTCAAGACACTGTAGGCATGTGGGCATAGACATACAATCAGACAAAACACTCATACATATAAAATTAAATCTCAATAAATAAGTAAAATAATAAATACATAATTAAATGGGGATCACTTCCTGAGGCAGGGCCTTATGCACCTCAGATGACCTCTAGGAATGGATCCCCCTAAAAAAAAAAAAAAAAAGAAAGAAAGAAAGCTGCCTAAGCCATTTGCCTCCAGTCACAGGATAGTTCCAACTCAGCATCCAGGCCCCAAGAAGGGTGCAGGCAGCTGCTCTCACCTGGAGTCTGGCCAGGATGCTGGCCTTCTTGGAGTTGGAGGAGTAGCTCCTAGAACATGAGACGCTGCAGAACCTCTTGGTCTTTGAGAAGAAAGCTTCTCTCGTGCCCACGATGCCACACATCTCACAGACCGCTGGGAAGAGAACTCGGCATGTGACTCCCTGACATAATTACTGTAAGTCAAACAAAACCCCGGGCTCCTCAAACCCCAGAGTGCTGCACCAAGCATGTCAGCGTTAGGCACTAAGGCTGACAGGGTGTGAGGAGGACAGTGTATGGAGGTCTCTTCCAAGACCAAGTTCCACGCGCTGCTCTTAAACTTGTATGCTCAGCTGAGCCTCAGCCACCAGCCTCTCCAGCAGCTGCGACTACAAGTGTGTGATACTCCATCAGTTGACACGTGCTTGTCCCTTGGCTCTGTATCAAGGGCCCAGGCTAAGGGACTGGAGAGCCACGCGAACACCTGCAGAATCTGGTAGACAAACTTTAGAGAGAGGAAGGTGACAAGAGGAAAGGTGCTGAAGTCACTCAGGGCTTGCGGGCCTTTGCTCTCACAAGGAGCACGTGGACAAGCTGTGTTCGCCCGGCCTCACGCTGGCTCACTTAAGGAGCTGCGTGTAAGCAGTGCTGTGGTGGGAGACTGCCACGCCCTGGGCCCCAGTGACACGCCTTTACCAGCTTCCCAGGTGACTAATCTGCAGCCAGGGTAACCAACCAGGCCCCGGGGCCAGCTCCTCCCCTGATGATTCCTGCTAATCTCGCCATTCTCAGATTCTAAGAGAAGGGCTGGAAGGAGATAGGGAGGTCACTTTAACCTGTATGCCCCCTTACAACTTGCCAACCTGCAGCCCACAAGCTATCTGTTGCCCTTTTGTGCCAAAGTACTCACACCACTTCTCACCTCACACTCAGATGTGGGGGCTGCTCAGCCTACCCACACTAATGTAATGCCATCTAACAGGTGCTGAATAAACACAAGAGGTGTAGGAGAATTATGCTTTAAAACTAGACTGCAGGAGAGGAAATGGCCCTTGAGGACAGTCCCTTAGAGCTTCCCACACCGCCTGTGTCCGTCCCCTTTTCTTCCCCAACTTCCTGACTCCTCCATCTTCAGGGACAGTATGAAGGCACCTGGCTCAGAACCACTTCCTTCCAAGGAGCGCGCATTCCCGGGGCTGAGCAAAGGCAGAGGTGAGGTGGGTAGCTCTCCTGCTTCCCTCTCTTCATTTTCTGTCTCACTTGACTCTCCTAGATAGGAGCTGCTCTCACTGCCCGCACTGCTGTTGTAACTCCGGAAGCTGTCGTAGCCCCCAAAGAGTTCCAAGTCATCATCCTCCTCTTCTTCCATTGGCTCTGAAGATGGCGCCTCCTGTGGAAGAATGATATGTGCTTGCTTCAGGAAGAGAGTTTGCAAACCTGCCAATCCACCCAATGTGATCATGGGATTTGAATGTTGGTTCTCTAAATAGGCAGTAGGAGCTCTTAACTGAGCCAGGCAGTGGTGACACACAGCATGACCTCCAGCACTTGGGAGGCAGAGGCATCGGGAGGATCTGTGAGTTCGAGGCCAGCCTGGTCTACAAAGTGAGTTCCAGAACAGCCAGGGCTACACAGAGAAACCCTGTCTTGAAAACAAAGAACAAACAAACAAAAGAGCTCTTCACGGCTGAGACATCTCTTCAGCACCTGACAAGATGTTTTCTCAGGGTGAATGAGATCGAATACAGATGGGGTTACTTCTGCATAAACAAGCCTATCATAAGTTAAAAATAGAAGCTGCGATGCTGGAGAGATGGCTCAGTGGTTAAGACCTCTGGTTGCTTTTCTAGAGGACCCAGGTTAGATTCCCAATACCACATGGTGGCTTACAACCACCTGCAACTCCCAGTCCCGGGGGCTCCTCTGATGCTCTCTTCTGACCTCCTGGGCATCATGCACACGCAAGATGCAGACATACACAGCCGGCAAAATGTTTATATGATTTTTTTGGTTTTGTTTACATTATTTTTTTAATTAAAATGCTAGGGGCTAGAAAGATGACTTAGTGGTTAAGAGCGCTGGCTGCTCTCCCAGAGGACCTGGGTTCAATTCCCAGCATCCACATGTCAGCTCACAGCTGCCTGTAACTCCAGTTCCAGGGGATCTGACACCCTCACACCAATGCACATAAAATAAAATTAAATAATTTTTTTTTAAATTAATAACGGGGCTGGGGAGATGGCTCAGAGGTTAAGAGCACTGGCTGCTCTTCTAGAGGCCCTGAGTTCAATTCCCAGAAACCACATGGTGGCTCACAACCATCTGGTGTCCTCTACTGGCCTGCAGGCACACATGCAGGCAGAACACTGTATACATAATAAATAAATAAATCTTAAAAATAAGATGCTGGGTGTTACAGGCACAAGCCTTTAATCCCAGCACTCAGGAGGCAGAGGCATGTGGATCTCTGCGACTTCAAGGCCAGCCTCATCTACAAAGCTATTTCCACCACCACCCAGCTAGTTGACCCTCTCTTTAAAAAGAGAGAGAGAGAGAAAGAAAAGGAAAAGAAAAAGAAGCAATGGGCCTGAATAGCCCCAGAAAAACTGGATGGCATTCTCATACTGGTAGCTTGGGTACAGAGCAAAATCCCTAAGAGGGGGGGTGGGAGGATCCTGAGAAAAACCGAGACCTAGACTATCCAAAGAGGCTTTGGGTCAGACGACACCCAGAGAGTATGTGTACAGTGTATGTACCACAGCTGTGAGTTCAGCCCTGATCGAAATCAGCTACTGATCTCAGGGCCAATCAACCTAACTTCTGTGGGACTCGACCTATGACAGGGAAGGGTTGGCTCACAGGATGTGAGGTGCAGACATTACATAAAAACCTAAGCCGCACACAGGAGAAAAGGAGGGAAGCGAGACAGAGATAAGGAGAATGAGGCTTTGGGCCAGGGTTCAAATACCATCTCCAGGGCTTCCTAGCTGTATGATCCACAGCAAGCCAATTACCATTGCCTCAGTTTTCATAAAGTGAGGACAATACCACTATTTAATAGTTTGGGAAGAAGAGATGATAAAAAGCAAAACACCCAGAACAGTGCTCAATAAACGCTGGCAATCATTACTGCTTGAAAAAGGAAAGAGACTCCAAATGCAAGGCGCGGTGGGTCACCAGCTACTGTACCACGGAAAAGGCAAAACTCTCCACGGTCTGGAAACTGACACACTTGGAGCCAACCTCTTGCAGTTTGCAGCTGTGTCATTCCAACAGGCTGTTTGGACCCGTCCCTAAAGAAGATGGCCTTGAGTATTCTGGAAGATCAGCACGGGAACGCTCCAGGACTGAAGTAATAATCACCTCTGACCTCCCTTTACTTCCCGCGTGGAAGCGACAGGCCGCACAATCCTAAAGCTCGGGACCACCACGAAACCAAGAAGACAAGGAAGTGGAGCCACAGTTCAGGAACCAGTTTCTCTGCCCCTGTTTAGGAAGGCGTTTCCACCCCTCCTCCATCCCATCCATCCCAAGACCAAAAGGGACCCTGGAGGCCTCCGCCCCGGACTAAGCTCCCTACCTCAGTTTACCAATCCTGCAACCTTCCACCTCCAAGGCGTCGCTAAAATGGTGCGTCCGCCGAGTGGGGGGTTCGGGGCTCCCTTTCCCGGAAGGGCTGAACGCTTTCCCTCTTACCTCGGTGCCCAGCGGTTTCTCCATGATAACAAATTCAATTTCCTCAACCGTCACCAGGTGCAGGAAGCCATATTGCCCTCCCCGCACTCCGAGAGCGTGCTCATTGGCCACCGCGCCTGGGCTGCGGACCAATCACACCGCAGGAGAGAGGAAAAGCCGGTTCCGCGCTCGCCCGCGCCCCGCCCCCGCTAAGGAGGCGGTGGGGAGCCCGGGCGGTTATGGGAGTTGTAGTTTTCTGTGGGGCGCACGCGAAGGGGCGTTGCCTTAGTGACGGGGCAATCTCCCGGAGGGTGCTTCTCACGCTGTCCTCTGTAAGGCAATTTTCAACCCTCCGGAGCACCTAGGATGGACGCGCCCGGGTACCCAGGTAGGAAGTAAAGGTGCCCCTGTACCGGAATGCCTCGCAGAAATACCTCGTCCCTCTTTCAACTCGGGCAGAAACTGAGCTTCCCTTCATATTCCTAGATCTTGAGCCACCCCCTGGAGTGTGCTTCCTCTACCAGGACCACGCCTTAAAGAAAACTGACTGTCCCCCAAAGTCCGTCCGCTGTCCGCAGCGCCTCAGTTAGTAGTAGGAGCCCACAAACCTCTTCCCGCGCCGTGCTGGTGTAGTCACGAGTGCAGTGGTCCTGTCAGGTTCACCAACGCCTCTGAGGGTTCCTGAGACCTGGGGGGTTGTGGATTGTCCCGTGTGTGGCTGAGCACGCCACGGACACCCATTTTCTGCGATTTCAACAGTTGCTGAGTTTTTGCAAACAGCATTGGATTTTAGTGAGGCTTTTCTTTCGGGGGCGGCAGTTGGGCAGTGAGGTATGAGCAGAGACTCATTGCGTAGCCCTGGTTGGCCTGGGAGTTTGTCCAGTTTTGAGACAGTGTCTCTCACTGAGCCTAGAGTTCACCAGTTGATGAGACCGACCAGAAAGTCCCAGGGACTGTCTGTCTCTATCTCCCCAGCACTGTGGTAAAAGTACACAGCTTTTAAGGGAGTGCAGATCTATCGCACGTTTTCAAGTTTACATGGAAAGGCTTTTATTGACTGAACTATCATCCCAGCCCGGAATCTTCACCTTTAATCCACACAAAAGATTTATTTATTTATTTATTTTTCTGGTGCTGGGGAGATAATACAGGACCTCAGGCAAGCGAGGCAAGAGTTCAAACTGTGAGTTACATTCTAAACCCTAAGGAAGTGATGTGGTCATTCTCTTGCCTCAAAGTCCTAGCAACTGGGCTGGAGAGATGGCTCATCAGTTAAGAGCACTGGCTGCTCTTGCAGAGGAACCAGGTTTCCTTCTCAGCATCCATGTTGGGCTGATCAAAACCACCTGGGACTCCAGCTCTAGGGAATCCAAACCCGCTGGACTCTGCAGGCACCCACACTCATGGTCACACACACACCCTATATAATAAAAAACAAAACAAAACAAAACAAAACAACAATCCTTCTAGGGCTCATCAGTTAAGAGCGCTGTTCTTGCAAAGAATCAGAGTTCGATTCCTACCATTCATATGTCTCCCCAGTTGCACTGCCTTCTGGAACAGACATACATGCAGACAAAACATCCACACATAAAATAATAATAAATTCGATAGTCAAAGCAAAACTAAAACCCCTTCTGCCTCCACTTTGGATTTCAAATAAATTCTTTAAGATTGGGTGACTTGGTCTGTGACCCTGTCCCAGCCTTCACAGCTTTGCTGGGTGCTTCTCTTCTGTTGTTGGGCGCTGAGCTTGAGGTGACTTGCAAAGTGAGAGCCAGGGATACAAACTGGATAGCATATAATGTCCACAAAGCAAAGTCCTTCTTCCTAAAAGGTCACTATCATTGCTATCAGCCGGCTGCAGTGGCACACGCCTTTGATCCCAGAACTCAGACCTTGGGAGGCAGAGGCAAGCAGATCTCTGGATTCGAGGCCAGCCTGGTCTACAAACTGAGTCCAAGACAGCCAGGGCTCTGTTAAGCAGAGAAACCCTATCTGGAAAAAAACAGCAGGGCATAGGGCCATCCACCTGTAATCCTAGCACTGGGGAGGCAGAGGCAGGAGGATGAGGGGCCAGAGTTTATCCTGCTGTGTTGTGTGTTTCAGCCTACCTTACATAAGACCATTCAAATCTAAAGACCACTCTCTGGCTGCTTCGTGCAGAACAAACTGAAGGCAGGTCAAGAGAAACAGCAGGAAGGCCAATTAGGAACTTCCTGCAGTAATTCAGATGAAAGATGATGGCCATCCAGATCGGGGCGGAGGCAGAGAGTGTGAGAATAGTATCAGGTGGGTGGTAAGAGGGAGGGATCTAGAATAAAAAAAAAAATATTTTTTGAGCCAGGATTTCATGTGTCTCAGGCTGTCTTTGAGTTCACTATGTCAATGGGAGTACAGGCAGGTGAGGCAAGCCTGGCACTGTGAGTTCTTATCTCAAAAACAAAACTTCAGGAAGAATGAATGCGCTTGGGTGGGAAACAGAGGGAACTGTGAGTTCTGCCAAGCTACAAGACAACAAAAGGACATCACAATTAAAACATGAACTCAGGCAGCACAGCCAGGTGTTGTAACTGTTGCCTATGTCCGCACTCAGGAGGGCTGTCTGAGTTTGAGATCAGCCTGGGCTACAGAGTGATTTTCAGGCCATTCTGAGCTACAGTGTAAAACCTTTTAAAACAAAGAAAAAGGAAAGGTGGTAGGGACGTGAGTCTGGAGAGATGGTTCAGTGGCTAAGAGGAACTGCTGCTCTTCCAGAGAACCCAAGTTCCGTTGTTTTCGTATCAGACAGCTCACATCTACCTGTAACTCCATCTTCACAGGCTCTAGTACTCTTATGTGGCCATGGCAGGCACAGGTAACACTTTTACACACACACAAATAAAAAGATGGGGGGCTGGAGAGACGGCTCAGAGATTAAGAGCACTGGCTGTTCTTCCAAACCTCCTGAGTTCTATTCTCAGCAACCACATGGAGGCTCACAACCATCTATAATGAGATCTGGTGCCCTCTTCTGGCGTACATGCAGGCCCACATGCAGGCAGAATACTCTATAAATAATAAATAAATAAATCTTAAAAAAAAAAAAAAAAAAGAGATGGTGCTGGAGAGATGGCTCAGAGGTCAAAGAGCACTGGCTGTTCTTCCAAAGGTCCTGAGTTCAATTTCCAGCAACCACATGGTGGCTCATAACCATTTATAATGAGTCTGGTGCCCTCTGCTGGCATGTAGGCATAGATGCAGGCATAATACTGAATAAAGAAAAAGATGGATACGGTGATGTTTGTCTTTAGTCCCAACACTGGGAAGGCAGGAGGACCTCTATGAATTCTAGCCTGGTTTACATAACAAGTTCCAGACCAGGAAGGCTACAAAGTGAAATCCGGTCTCATAATAACATTAACAATAACATAATAATAATAACACCCCCCCCCCCTTTTTTGAAAGAAGGTAAAATAGAAAGGGCTGGAAAGATGGGTCAAATCACTTTCAGAACAAGCCTGACAACCTGAGTTTGATTCTTGTAACCTGAAAGTTGTACTCTGACCACCCTATGTGCAGTGTGGCACGTATGTGCCTGAATGCACCCACACACATACTTCCACAGTAAGCAGCAAACACGGAGCTGGAATGTAGCTCAGCTGGTGGTGCTTACCCAGCCTGTAACCCCTGACCTGGAGGATGGATAGGTTCAAGGTCAGCCTGGGCTACACGAGACACTGTCTAAAACAACAACAAAAGAAGTGCGCTTAGTCTGAGACACCTAAGATACAGCAGAGCAAACTTAAGAAGACAGCTGGCACTAGAGAACCCAGACCTGGAGGTGGAAGTCCTGTAGCTTAGGACATTTTCCCATCAAATCTGAAAGGGTCAGAAGATCCATCATCCTGTTTTTATTATCTTTCTAGCCTTAATGTATATCACCCCTCACTTCATGAAAACAGAAGCCCAAACTTTCCAGTTTTATGGTTGGAAAGGTAGAGCTGGGTCCCCTGTGATAGGAGCCCTTACCTAACTTTAAATGAATTAGGAATTCAGTTGAGACTTTGAAAAATATGCTTATTTGTGCATTTTATATGTAGGACTACTCTATTTGCATATATGGCTGCATGACAGAAGGCCGCATTAGATCTCATTACAGATGGTTGTGAGCCACCACATGGATGCTAGGAATTGCACTCAGGACCTCTGAAGAGCAGCCAGTGCTCTTAACTGCTGAGCCATCTCTCCAGCCCTGTACAAAACTTTTGACATTTATTTGTACATAAGTATGCATGAGTAGAGGTTGGGGATGACTTCTGCAATGCAGTTCTCTCTTGCCACCTTATGGGACTGGAGATTGAATTCAGGTTATTCAGCCTCTTTACGGGACCATCTTGTTGGCTGAATACTTTCTTTTTTTCAGATAAGGCCTCTCTATGTAGCGGAGGCTGGCCATTATTCTTGTGTCCCTAGACATCCTTTTGTTCCCACTCCTCTCTTTGGTTGAGACAGGGTTTCACTGTGTGTGCCAGGCCAGCTTCTAACTCAAGAGACTTATCTGCCTCTCTCCCAAGTGCTGAACACCATCATGATCTGCTTTTGTTTTTTTCAGGACAAGGTTTCTCAAGTGTAGTGTTGGCTACCCTGGAGCTTACTCTAGACCAGACTGGTCTGAGAGATCCACCTGCCTCTGCCTTCCAAATGCTGGGAATAAAGGCATGTGCCACCACTGCCTGACTCTGCCTTCTTGATAGGGTCTCACAAGGAGACTGTTGGGAGACGGACAGTGATAGTGGGGACAAACCCTTGGCCTTAGCCTCTGTGACCCTAGTCCTGTCCAGCGACTCCCACCACCACCACCAGAGGGAGCCAACATGAGCGAACAGGCAGCTCCTAAAGGGCAGGGAACCATGTTCTTATTCTTGGTTAGACCTGCCCCACCAAGTTGTCTGCTGGGTGACTTGATCTAAGGCAAGGTTGTCCCTGGTGAATACCAGTGTGTTCAGACCCATCTGAAG